AAAGTCTAACCCTTTATCCTTATACACGCACTACGACCATAATAAATATGCTATGACCCCATTGACCCACCCCTCCAGCAATTTCAAAAATATCTGGAGTCTTGGACAGTTGTGTATGTTGTTTCTTTCATCCGGACAATGTGAAACTTTGTTTTAGCACTTCTTTTATTTTTTATCGGCCACCCTTTTTTGACATCTATATGTAGTTTGTGATGGTTTTGAATTAGCTTACTTCGATTTGAACATTTCCAAGTGTAAAAGGGGTCACACGTTAAAAACTTTTCGAGGAGTTAGCCTGGTTAAAAAGTTATTGACTTCCTGGACCTACTTACTATACATAACTCTCACTAAATATGTCATGTTCTCTTAAACAGGCTTTATACCCTTTTAACAAATATCGAGGTTTTTTCCCCTCTAAACAACCCCCACAATATTCAGCCACATGTTTCCTAACAGTGTTTCAAAGTGCTTTGCCGTTCACATCACCCATACATAAATATTCCACTGTTACCAGCCAATGATAAATCACAGAACAGAAATAGAAACTGAGTTTTGTTTCAAAATTAATGAATGCAACCCCAATTTAATCTTCCTTTACTCCTAAACCTGCTTATGAGTCTATATTCAATAACAAAGCCTCCCCTTCAAACATTGACTATTTCAAAACTACAGTAAAATAGCCTGGTATCGACTCAATCAATCAAATCGTAAACTAAGAATGACCTATAGTTGCTGCCACCTAGTGCTAATGCTCTCTTTTCTTGTTTTGATTGCTCTTGTAAAAGAGAATTGAAGAGAAACACTTTACTAAGCATTTGTGTTATATATAGAATTGCCAATTTCAAGTTTACCACTTTAACCATCGCACGCATCCATTATCGTACCCCCTCATCTCTCACAGGAATGGTTTAGTCGGTTGAAAGGTGTGAGTGAATGTGATAGCTAAAATAAATTTAAAACATGAGGTAAATTAGCAGAAAGATAATACGACAACCGTGCAAATCATAATCATAAGCCAAGATATCAAATTAGGAGTTCACTTTTCAATTGTTCTTTTTAGATACCGGTATTGTAGACGAAGTAAATTTCGAAAAAAATTGCCTGGAGTTTGAAACTTTGGCTACCTTTGATATAGGCAACGTATTCCACAATATGTTTCTGTGCGATGATTATTTGTCCTGCAACAAAGTATTTTCATTTCAATTCAGGTTCCGCATCTCGTTTACAAAGCAGAGAACGACGCAACGTTGACTTAGAATACAGCAATCAAGATTTGCTTGTGGCAGGTGAGTGTATTTATAATCTGTCCTGATATAATCATTGATTTCCATTTATTTGAAGTGTCGAATGTTTTTATATGACGCTTACTCGTGTCTTTTGCTCCGAACACGGCCAATGTACAAGCAGCAGTACTACCGTAGTATGTGTACCAGGTTAGGCCATAATTTATTCAGATTTTCCTTATATTTGTTCTATTTCGAGTTCGGGGGCTGTCTGTGTTAGCCAAGTGAATATACCCCCTGCCTATAGGCTTCCGTCCCTTTACACAACTTGATGTAAAGTAGGCGAACAAAATTAGTTACCTCCATGTCGGTACACATACTACTGGGGCGACCAAGCACCCACTGATATGTTATTTTTGTAAGGACTGGAATCTTTCTGTTCCTGATTCCCCCCCCCCCCAATTTATTACACCTTGGGTTAGGTGGGGGCATGGGGCTTCAATCGCTAAGAACCAGGAATGCGCAACCTGCAGCCCACAAGAACAAATTGTGCGGCACGCAGGGGAATCCCAATTTTGAATGGCGTGCTGTCCGCAAAACAAGTTTTTACTGCAGTTCAATCTGGTAATTCCAGTCACTTTGTGTTGCCAAGACTATACCTGAGTCCAATTTGGTATCTATGCCTATGACAATACATTGCCCTAACAGCTAGCTTGTACGAAGTGAAAAAATATGTCATAAGATCCAAATCTAAAGCTTGGTACTCCCGTAGTATGTGAACCAAGATGGCGGACACCGGAACGTAGTATGTGTACCAGGTTAGGGTTAAGCCATAATTTTATTCCAATTTTACTTATTTTAGTTCTACTACGAGTTTGGGGACTAGCTAAGTGACACTCATAGTATTTGTACCTAAAACTATGGCCTAACCCTAACCTTTTACACATACTAGGTTCCGGCGTCTGCCATCTTGGTTCACATACTACGGGAGTTCCCCAAAATTTCTGTGCCTGCAAGGCTGCAACTACTAGAAAGCCTATGTTAAATGAAAGTGCAGCTCGCAGTTTCACCCACTTATTTGTATCTGGTCCTCCTGTATTGAAGGTTGCACACTCCTGCGTCAAGCCATTGCGTCGCCCAATTGCTACGTGTAGTCACTGCGAAGGCAAATACCTAAACTGTATGGCGTCTTCTTAGATTGATTATCACTTTACTACAACTTTTGATCGTAATGTTTGTTCTTGGTATAATCCTTCAACTTAGAGCAAAAAATATTTGATAGATTATAACTATCTAGTCTGCCTATCTTTCAATATGAGTTACTATCAATAAATTGTTACTTACTTATGTGTACAAAATTGTTACTTATGTGTACATCTCTCTTCTATTTAGGTTCTGCATCATTATTAAAAACAGAGAAACCTACCAATATAGAAATCAAAGACTCAAACATTTACATTATTGGAGGTAAAAGCTTGAAATTTATGTCTGATTGTGCTAGATTGTGTTGTAACCTAAGTTTAAGTTCATTACTTCGCAAGCAAATGCATGAGTTCCACAAATACTCGGCGACTTTAATTGACTTAAACATTAGCAGCATCTCAAAGCAGTTCACAAATTATGAAGCACCAACAAAACATGATTGGTTCTAGCGGTAAGAGCAAAGTATGGGAATACTTTGTGTGCCATAATGATGGCGTAATTTGCTTATCATTATTAAGCCAAAAGGTTCCGCCGGTTTAAAAAAAAAGATGGGTATAATTTGGGGTGGGCAACCTTTTCCGGCTCGCGTGCCAAAATCGGCTAAATTTAGCGACAAAATTCTTCGCATGCTGACCAAAATTAAAAACAATTATTTGCTAATTTCAAAGCAAAAATACACAAACATAAACCCTATAAACACGTACAGATAGCTTCACTATTCAGAAAAATATCATTCCGGCAATTAGATTTGATTACTTTTCTTATTCTATATCAGTCAGACTTCCGCTGCTGCATTATCGCTGATGGAGATTTTACATTGAGTCTATGTTTTGTAACTTTGAATAAAATACATGAACTCTTTTCAGGCTACTCCTGTTAGAAAACTTAATTAAGTACATAACTGAGAACAGATTCACAAGCATATGTAGATGAAAACATGGAGAGTAATGCAGTTGCAAAGCTTTAAGACACGAAATTTTTTGGGACATCTCAATCACGAAATAGACCGTTTTCTGCACTTCTCTCTTGCATTTCCATCCCTAATCGCGTATATTTCTTTCGAAATCGAGTTATAACTGTAAGTTAGCGAGTAATACTGACCAAAATGATCTGTACAACTTCACAAATCAAACAGAAGTGAAGAAAAAGGTGGCACAGTCTGACTATATTTCTATATTACGTAAGAATGTAGCCAAATGAATGCTGCGCTCTTCCCGACAAAATTTCTACTCATCCTACTCATTTGTTACATCATAATGTGTTTTTGTAATCATATGTCATGAAAGTACAAGAAGAGTTTAAATAAATAACGGATTGTTAACAAACGATAATGAATAAACGTACACCTAATTTCAACAGATAATTGAAGAGTCTTGAAACTTTTTATCTGAAGGTGAATGATCTCGTTTGCGAGGCCTCGCTCGCGTGCCGAATAAATTGGCTCGCATGTCAGGGGTTGCCCACCCCTGCCCTAGGATGAGGTTTGGCCGTCCCAGGCATTGTATGGTCCTAAGGCTAATTCTAAACTGGTTATGCCCCTCTTAAACGATCTTTATGCCTTGGGTTTTGTTCCTACTAATCATACCATGCTCTAGGAAAAATGTTTGGCTGCCATAGGCTATGGTCTTAGGGCCCATTCTAAACTGGGTATGCTCCTTTAAACGAGCTGTATGCCTTAAAAGGCTTTATTCCTACTGAACCCCAAGAAAAAGGGTTATACTAGGCCAGTCATAGTCATCTTACTAAACTGGCTATGCCCCAATAAAATATGTTGTGCCCATCTCAGCCAAGCGATAGTTCTTCGAAAAAATTAAGGTCTTTCCTCAGCTGAGTATGCCAGTTATTAATGAAGATTTATATTTATGATTTCAGGTACAACAACAGCACAAAGAAGAAATGAATTCGCTGATGCCAGACTTGCTTCAAATGAATTACCTTGTCCAGTCTATGAGGTGACGCCTCCTCCATTAGGTGTGTATATTGATAATTATTGGACACATAGTGGGCCTATAAGTCTCAACTGTTGTTGTAACGAAATTGAAAAATAATGGGAATGCTGGAATATGATATTACATTTCTGTGTTTCTTATATTCGAGCAATGCTATTTCTTCAAGGAGAAAATTAATAGAGCAGTAAGTCGAAATGAGCAAAAACTGAAATTATAAATTGTTATTTGTACTTGATTGACTTTGAATTGAATCCCACCTTTACACCTCACTCATAATGGTTTAATATAAAATGTACAAAACTGATATTAGTAAACGATTACGATTCACCAACGTTCTCCCATTTATTTTTCTGATTACTAGAGTCACCTCCCATACAAAATTTGATTGAAATGTTGTTGATGTCATAATTATCAAAATTGGCATTTATATTTTGAAAAAAAAGTCATATGAGCTCAAAAAAAATATTACTGTTAAAAACCATACCTGGTAAATAGTATACCTGTTAATTTTAAGCGGCGATCTATAGCACGAAAAGACTTCTCCCAATACGATACTCGCGGTACCCTTCATACTGGTGAATACAAACTTTCATTTCATTAAAAATATTTGCTTTATTCTTTCCAGGTGTCCTACAACCTGCACAGAGATCCACTCACAGAGGTAAAGCATTTTTGATGAGTTTGATACTGGGTTGTTTGTAACTCTCATGTAATAATTATTAGTTCCTAAAATACCAATCCAACATATCCTTCTGGAAACTTCCTATTTTACTTGTAATCTGAATGTGACCATTCGTAAACCTAATGAAAACTTTCAGATTCATGTGTTGTGCCTCAAAGTTTTTTCATTTGAATTCAGGTTCCGCATCTCGTTTACAAAGCAGAGAACGACGCAACGTTGACTTAAAATACAGCAATCAAGATTTGCTTGTGGCAGGTGAGTGTATTTATAATCTGTCCTGATATAATCATTGATTTCCATTTATTTGAAGTGTCGAATTTTTCTATACGACAAAATTTTGCATTTTGCTGTAATCACCTTTTGTTTTTGCCAGCATCACATGTCATTTAGCCCGTAAACATCTTCATGTTGGTTTTTGCTCTCCCTAAATCACAAATTTCCTTCAACATAGTACGTCTTGTGCCACGACAATCATTTTTTTCACTCGCAAAGAATTATGAATCCAAAATAGGAAATTCAAACTTTGAAGCATTCAGCGCTATTACTATCTCATTGAAAAAGCCAAATTTTTTGCGTATAATGGCTTTTCTGTCGCGTAAAATATTCAATCCATGACAACTACGAGATTCTAAAGTGTCCTTCTATATAAATTTAATGGTGCTCCCAGAAGTATGTGCACCAATATGGCGGACACTGTGACGTAGCATGTGTACCGGGTTAGGGTTACGCCATAATTTTATTCCAATTTTCCCTATTTTACTTATATTATGGAATCGAGACTAGCTAATTGACTCCCACAGTATTTGTACCTGAAATTATGGCCCAACCCCAAACTGCTACATATACTACGTTTCGGTATCCGCCACCTTGGTGCACATACTTCTGGAGTACCAATTTAATTGTGTCTAACGTAACTCATGGTTGCGTCGCCTTGTGCCAAAATAAAAATTTTATTACGGTAGGCGATATGTGGACATAAACATAAGATATAAACTGCCTAATGTATTCAGTTTTCATACAGATTTTTGCAATCCTGCCAACTCTTTATCGCTGTTAGAAAAATCTTAAGATTAGATGAAAAATCTTGTGGAGTAGCCTAAAATTTTATTTTCACTTGTTAAAAATAATGACTTTTTAAATGAATAATGAATTCTCTGTAATTCTGTAAGTAATCAATCCATGACCGATACGAGCATGTTTAAAATGTCTTGCTATAATAATTTAATGATCTTCAATAGGGCCCGACCGATTCTGCCTTTTTAAACCGATATCGATAGTTTTCTAAAACTAGGCCGAAGAGCTGATACTAGACGCTATTACTAGACTGTCGCGGGACTCAACAAAACTTATATTGTTTACGGTTTTATTTTTAGTATTTTATAATGCCGCTTTTCAATCAAATTTAGATCGCGGTTTTACTCCTCCTTTTGTCTTTAGAACCTCGCCACCGATGAACGTATAATAACTCACGAATTCACAATTCCATGCAAAGCACAAAAATAAAATAATTATCATGTTTATCGTGGCACAAAATTTATGATTTGGAAAGAATAAAAACCGACGTAAGGGCGTTTATGGCCTAAATAACACACACGCTGATGAAAACATGGACGATTTTAGCAGAAGGCAATTGCACGCTTTTTCAGTTTTCACATTTCCGTGCGGGTACAAAAATAAAATAATTATCATTGTTCCCGCGGCACAAATTTGTGATTTAAAGAGAGAATAAACACCAATGTAAAAGGCGTTCACGGCATAAATAACATGCGGCGTTGATGAAAACGAACGGCGATTTTAGCAGAAGGCAATTGCACGTGTTATCGGCAACTTTTTCACTTTTCAGAAAATTCAAAAGGGGGGGGGGGGTTCGACTCCGAACCCCCCCCCCCCCTGAGTTAGAGAAATTTTGAGTTTGATACTGGGTTGTTTGTAACTCTCATGTAATAATTATTAGTTCCTAAAATACCAATCCGACATATCCTTCTGGAAACTTCATATTTTACTTGTAATCTGAATGTAACCATTCGTAAACCTAATGAAAACTTTCAGATTCATGTGTTGTGCTTCAAAGTTTTTTCATTTCAATTCAGGTTCCGCATTTCGTTTACAAAGCAGAGAACGACGCAACGTTGACTTAGAATACAGCAATCAAGATTTGCTTGTGGCAGGTAAGTGTATTTATAATCTGTCCTGATGTAATCATTGATTTCCATTTATTTGAAGTGTCGAATTTTTTTATACGACAAAATTTTGCATTTTGCTGTAATCACCTTTTGTTTTTGCCAGCATCACATGTCATTTAGCCCGTAAACACCTTCATGTCGGTTTTTGCTCTCCCTAAATCACAAATTTCCTTCAACATAGTACGTCTTGTGCCACGACAATTATTTTTTTCACTCGCAAAGAATTATGAATCCAAAATTGGAAATTCCAACTTTGAAGCAGTCAGCGCTATTACTATCTCTTTGAAAAAGCCAAATTTTTTGCGTATAATGGCTTTTCTGGCGCGTAAAATATTCAATCCATGACAACTACGAGATTCTAAAATGTAGAGCTCGACCGATATCACTTTTTGGCACCGATAACGATATATCGGCCAACTAGTGACCGATAACCGATATAGACATACCGATATCTACAACCTGAACCTGCAGTAAATACAACTAGGAAGAAAAATTCAGTTTCAGTCAATCGAAAGTTTATGTTGAAAAATAAAGCAGTCCTACACAGTGCTTGCATCATTGATAAAAGTTTCACAGCAATTAATAAGAACACACATTAATGCACAAAACAGAAGGCAAAGTTTGAAAAAACCAAGCACAAAAGAAAAAGGGCAATCAGTAAAAAGCTTATAGAAGTCCATTTTGATCCATACAGTAGTAAGTGGGGACTAGGCTTGCACGTAATTTAGGGAATTACGTAATTGTTCGAGTTACGGAAGGGAAGTTACAAATTACGTAAAGTCGCCACCCCGTTTGAGCGTTTGGTTTTACGATCAAAACGATATTATTATGAGCGTTATCACCGGAACGCAATTAACACCGACAGACTTTTTTGTCTTCACAATTTGGTATCTTTTTTATTCGGCGCTGATAACGATAAATAAGAATGTGTGATAGTTGATTGTAATTCCGGAAGGCGTATTTTTCTTTCTCTCCGTGAAACAGACATGAAACGAATTTTACCGCCGCTATGGAGCAAAGGGAGAGAAGGCTACTTTCTTTCTTTCTCAATCACTTTTATTAATACAAATTACAGCACATTAAAAAACAAAATAGAATTTATTAGCATTAATTTACAACGAGTTACGGGTAAGAATTTACCGCCGGCTTAATAATTAATATGTGATCTAAATTTATCGCAAATAATGTTATAACATTTAGGCCGCGAAATGATTTGATATAAAATGAAGCTTGGCAATCGGAATATCGTCAATAATTCAGCATCAATAATTATTGCAAAATGCTAACTAGGTAGCAAAGTCGGATAATGTAAAAAAGGGAGAAATAACAAATATTCGTCGCGAGGCAAGCGCAGGTATAATTAAACGAAAGAATACGCTCGTCGTTGATTAATAACTTGGAAACCCGACATTTTTATTCAATACGAAAGTCGATTTTAAAAAAAGGCAACTATTGTTTCATAAATATCCGTATACCAGTGTTGGTAATGATAAAATTGATCGCATAAAATTGGGACGGTTAATTTGCGAAGGTGATAAAGGAAAATCAAATCAACACAAAAGATAAAAATCAGAATAAATACAATTTGAATTCACTCCTTGGTATTTGTCTTTAACATCTGTCGCCGGCGTGTAGTACTGTCGGTGATATGAAAACCAAACTTCGATGTCCCATTCGGAAAAGAAGTGGATTCAAATGCTTTTTATGATAGGTTTAAATGCGTGAAAAATATCGCAATTACGGGGTCATTACGTAATCGATTTTGTCGTAATTACGAAATTGATTTTTGTCGATTATGTGCAAGTCTAGTGGGGACGCAAGATATTCGAAGGCGAGGATTTTGCCCCGCACGAAGAGATAAAATAGAGAAATATAGAGGAGAACTCTCTGTTCATTGAGAGAAGCGAAAAAAAGAAAACGCTCGGTCGCAGATATTTCCCGGGGAAAAAGACTCATTTTTTAGAACGTGGAAAAGCGACTAAAGCTGATATATATCGGCCGGTTGGGGCGATATGATATATCGGCAAACATGCAATATCGGCCCGATATATCGGTTGGCCGATATATCGGTCGAGCTCTACTAAAATGTCCTATATAAATTTAATGGTGCTCCCAGAAGTATGTGCATCAATATGGCGGACACCGTGACGTAGTATGTGTACCGGGTTAGGGTTACGCCATAATTTTAGTCTAATTTTACTTATATTACGGGATCGAGACTAGCTAATTGACTCCCACAGTATTTGTACCGGAAATTATGACCCAACCCTAAACTGCTACATATACTACGTTTCGGTATCCGCCACCTTGGTGCACATACTTCTGGAGTACCAATTTAATTGTGTCTAACGTAACTCATGGTTGCGTCTTCTTGTGCCAAAATAAAAATTTTACTACGGTAGGCGATATGTGGACATAAAAATAAGATATAAACTGCCTAATGTATTTAGTTTTCATACAAATTTTGCAATCCTGCCAACTCATTTCATTACATGAAAAAATTTAGAGGTTTTTAAAATTGGGTTTCGAAAACTGTCGAGTGTTGACAGTTGAAAATTGCACATACTCTCAATACTTCATTTACTCAATTCCTATGAATTCGGTTTTAATAAATCATGCAAAGCCTGTAGGTGCTATTTTAATCCCATTATCATTAGTCTTAACTCTGGAGATTTTGATTAACAACCATTAATAAGATAAAAGTGTTGCCCAAGAACTTTTATATTGCCTTTAAGATGGTTTCGAATTCGGAGCTAGGGATGACATTATTATTTGATGATCGTATTGTTACATTTG